AAGAGTAAGTGAGTATTTTCAAGGGATGGAAAGTCTCCATGAGGATTGAGAAACTTTCTTCTCTCTAAAAAACATTAGGACATTCACCTAATTTTATGTGGCCTAAAGAGCTCTGGCCACAGCCAGGAGACACATGTCTCCTCTTACCCAAAGCATGCTCTAAAAAATGATATGCAGAAAAGTACGAAAGGGGTTGTTTCCTGTGAGGGACTCCTTTAGGAAAAATGTAAGGACCCAGATATTCTCGGGGTGGGGCCAGGAAGGGTCACAGTGGCTCACCACTAAAGACGGTGCCAATACAGAGGTAACCCCACAGGAAGCACAGAGAACTGGCTCCGTCCTTTCTTTGACTTGATGCGAGGGAAATAGGCAGGCAGCTGAGGTAGGGATAAATGACCTGCAAGATCTCACAATTTCTGCCCCGCACTGTAACTCCACCCCCATACGTGTCAATCTAGTATGACCATGTTCCCATAACGCACCTGCATCTCATCTGGGACCATGATGACCACCTGCAAATTAAACTCCACACATGGAGGCACCATGAAACTCTCAGAAAGACTTATACACACTGAACTCCACCCAAACTCCACCCGATTTGCATATCCAATTCCGGGGCTGCGTGTGGGAGGGGCCTTTTCTTGGACTTTGCTTTTGGAACTCCTCGGGCCTCTTGCTACCCTCTCTCCTGATAGGCAGCTCTCTGGCCCACTGGTGGGGGAGTATCTCTTCATGTGGGCTTGCTACACTCGGGTGTGAATGTGTATTCGCCCTCTCATTTTCAGTAATGCCTGTTCTCACTTGTACTCTGTATTTATGCGTCTTTGAATTATTTTCTTGGTGGGGGCAAGAACTTGGAATACAAGAACTTGGAAACATATCCCCACCACAGATAGAAGAAAGTGCATCTTGGGCACTTGGGGAAGCCCAGTGTGATGAGTCTCCAGTGTGCCATTGGTTTTCTTGGTTATGAACCACTTCCGATCCAGCTCTCTGCTATGGCCTGGGAAAGCAGTAGAAGATGGCCAAGTCTTTGGTCCCCTGCACCCACGTGGGAGACCTAGAAGCTCCTGGCTCCTGGCTTTGGATCAGCTCAGCTCTAGTCACTATGGCCAACTGGGGAGTGAACCAGCAGATGGAAGACCTCTCTCTGCATCTCCTCTCTCTCTGTAACTCTGACCTTCAAATAAATAAATAAATCTTTTTTTTTTTAAAAAGAAAATGACAAAAACAACAGAAAAATGAACCCAGAGAGGGAAGAAAGCAAAAAGGACCAGCAGAATTAATGAAGTAGTAAACAAAGCACCCAACTTGATATTTTAAAAAGACAAATGAAAGATGGAAAACTATAGCTAATCCAACAGCAGAGAAAAATATTACAAATGAGAAATATGCATTCCTGCAGAAAATCAGGAACCAAAACAGACCTTGTGGGATAATAAATTGCACAAGGTAACATCTTTGGGGGAAAAAAACCCAACTTTCTAGGAAAGTGAAAATTATCAAATTCCAAACCCGTTTCCATGACAAATCCAGAAACAGTCCCCTCAAGTGTGCAAGTTCTGTATGAAGAAATTGCCATGTTTTCTGAAAGACACTAAGTAGTATATAAGTATGGGGGAAATATATAGTATATAATATATGACATATTTTATGGATAAATAATATATAATAATATATGTTATATAAATATGGGAGAAACAGAGTGGGTTTTTTTAATGAAAAGGTTTTTTTTTAGGATTTATTTTATTTATTTGAAAGAATTACAGAGAGAAGTAGAGACAAAGAGAGAGAGGGGTCTTTAGTCCGCTAGTTCACTCCCCAAATGACTTCAATGGCAGGAGCTGAGCCTGAGCTGATCCAAAGCCAGGAGCTTCTTCCAGGTCTCCCATGTGGGTCCAGGGGCCCAAGGACTTGGGCCGTCCTCCACTGCTTCCCCAGGTGCATTGGCAGGGAGCTGGATCGGAAGTGGAGCAGCCAGGACTCAAACCTGTGCCTGTATGGGATGCCAGCACTGCAGGCCAGGGCTTTAACCCGCTGTGCTACAATATTCAATACTGTAGGGATTTCACTGTCTGCTAGATTAATCTATAAATTCAGCCCCAACATTGCCACTGGAGCCTCAAGACACTTTAGGAGCAAAATAATCACATTATTTCTCTGAAAGAGAAAATGCAAACTAGTCATCAACACTGAAACAAGAAGAATAACAGTGTAGCTCCAGGGCGGGGGGCGGGGGAGGGAGCTCCTCCCTCCCGGCCCCAGCCCGCTACCTTGCAGCGAAGGATCCGGTTAGGGGGCAGTCATTCGGAAGATGGTCTCAGAATCACACTGAGCTTCTGGCCTGAAGCTGCCTCCCCATGTATTTAATTTTAAGATAAAGGCTTCTCCGTGCCTCATGAACTGTAACCCAACCTGAAGACAGACTGCAAACTCCCCTTGCGGCCAGTGGGTGAGTCTCAGCCAACCACAGGTGGCCACACCATGGTCCAACCAGACCGTGAGGGCTGGCGCTGTAGCCCAATATGTCTTCTCTGGCTCCCTGTAGATGCGCCTTTGGATTGGGGCAGGAGCACCCCTGAGCCCATTCTGGGCCTGAACTACTGTCTGATTCCAGAATTGAAAATAAAGTCACTTAGATCTACAGAACTACACTGACATTTTGTCTCTAACACCCAGGACACAAGTTTGGATACTTTGACCAAAAAAGCTTAGGACTGTAAGCTACCTGGAAAGCATAAAATCGGGTTCTTAACTTTACTAGAAAAAGAACTAAAGCACTAAGCCTTGAGAGCCGAATCATCAAAGGTGGAGAGGAAATTGCTGTTATTTGTGTGTTTTTTTTTTAAAGATTTATTTATTTGAAAGGCAGAGTTACACAGAGACGAGAGGCAGAGAGAGAGAAAGAGAGAAAGAGAGAGAGAGGTCTTTCATCCGATGGTTCACTCCCCAAATGGCCACAACAGCCAGAGCTGTGCCGATCTGAAGCCAGGAGCCTGGAGCTTCTTCTGGGTCTCCCACGTGGGTGCAGGGGCCCAAGCACTTGGGCCATCTTCTGCTGCATTTGCCAGGCCACAGCAGAGAGCTGGATGGGAAGAGGAGCAGTGTCGCTCCCCGTCTTCATGGGGGAACGACACTAAACCCTGCCTAGGCTTCATATCCGAGTCACGGCACCATTATGTCGCTCCCCCTCTTCGTGGAGGAACGACACTAAACCCTGCGCTGTTCTTTCGTCTGCTCGGCCCTCCCCAGGTTTGCTGCTGGTTCTTCCCGGGTTGGCTACTGTCCCTTCCACCTCCGTGGAAGGGCGGTTCCCCCTGGCCACTTTCCCCACTTCGGCAGGGGAGCGGCACACCGCCGGCCGGCTCTCTCGGGGGCTGCTCAGATGTTCCCTCAGATGTTCCCCTTAGATGTTCCCCTTAGATGTTCCTCTTAGATGTTCCTGGTGCATGCCGTCTCTCTCCTCCTTTATAGTCCTCCTCCGCCAATCCTAACTCGGCTGCCCACATGCCGAGTACGCTGCTCTCCTCCAATCAGGAGCAGGTCCTGCAGCTTGTCAAGTTGGTGAGAGGCAGCTGGGTAGAAGCTGTTGCCTCCTCTCCCAGCGCCATATTGTGGGAGAGCAGATGCATAGAATAAGTCTTAATTCCAGTAACTCAGTCCAGTCCGGGTTGCTCCCCACAGAGCAGCAGGGACTCGAACTGGCGCCCATATGGGATGCTGGCACTGCAGGCAGAGGATTAACCTACTGTACCACAGCTCCGGCCCCAGAATACAAAGTTTCAAACACTCCGCATATTTACATATATGTGGCAAAAAACGTGAACAGCAAAAATTCTAGAAGACCAGCCTGTAGGTTGGTGGTGGTTTTATCCATTGGTGACTTTCTTTTCCAAGTATTCTGTGATGAGCACACTTTTCTCTTAAACTTTAAAAAGATTTGTTTTCTAAAAACATGCATTGCATGTTAGAGACACACTTTGGCTGTGGCAAACATGAGTCATTTTGTTTTCAGCGATTACTAAGCTATTTTTTTCCTCTACTTTTTAAAACTCAGAATGAAATGAGGACTTCAAAATCCAGGCTTCTACACATTGAATTAGGCAGGTGTACTCTAGTAGGCCAGACCTAGGAGATGAGCCTCTGGAAAATCCAGATGCCGAATGGTTTACTGATAGCAGCATCTGTCTGAAGGAAGGAGTTAGAAAGGCAGACGATAGAAGCCCAAACACTACCACACAATACTTCAGCCCAAAAGACACAGCTTATTGCATTGACTAGGGCTTTACAACTGGGAAAAGGCCAGCGAGTTAATATATATACAGATTCCAGACAGGCTTTCCTTGACTTACATGCACACGCAGCAATCTGGAAAGAGAGGGGCTTAGTGACTGCAAAGAGTTCCCCTGTTAAACATGGAAAAGAGATACTGGCTCTACTTCAGGCAGTACTGGAGCCTTTAGAAGTGGCCGTCATCCACTGCAAGGGACATCAGAAGGGAGATAATTATGTTACCCAGGGAAATGCATTAGCAGATAAAGCTGCTACACAGGAGAGTTTGGAAATGGCCCTTATAACTCAATCTGTGGAAGTGGCTAAGGAACCTCACTATACGGAGCCCGAGAATGAATGGGCCCAACATTGAGGCTATATTAAAACCGCAAATAGATGGTGGAAGCTAAATCATAGAATTATGCTACCAATGGCCACTCAATGGAAAATTATCAAGGAGATACACAACTCTACCTACTTGGGAAGAGATGCCTTAGTACAACTGGTCTCCCAAGCTTTTGGAGGAAAGGGACTAAATATGGTCATAAAGGAAATGACTCGCTCTTGGCCTCTGTGTTTACAGAATAACCCTCACCACGTAAGGCCACCTCTCCTGTCGACTCCTGTGCAGAGGAGGAGAACATAAACAGGTGTAGACTGGCACATTACCAATATGTTCCCAACAAGCAATTTTAGGTACCTTCTAGTCTTTATTGATACTTTTACAGGATGGATGGAGGCCTTTCCGACCCGAATGGAGAAAGCACACGAGGTGTTTCAAGCCATGTTGAAGGACATTGTGCCACACTTTGCACTCCCACGGTCACTCCAGAGTGACAATGGACCTTCATTTATATCTAAAATGACCCAGCAGAACCCAGCAGCTTCTGAGAATAATGACGACCATGCAGGAGCCACTGAGGATGCCGGTGACTGAAAGAGCCCCAGCTCATGAAGCAAACTCATTAGATGAGATAGGCAGAGACTTCCAGACCGAGAACAGGCAGGGTCTGCAACCCTAATCAGCAGGAAGCAGCTACAGAAGATGGAGACCCGACGCCCATCAACATCCCCTTAAGATTAAGGTCTGGAGTCTCTGAGGGGGGAATGAAGTGGGCAGGCATACAGGTTAAAAGTGTTAGATTTGTGAACTGGAAGACCACGCCTTTGCCACGCCCCTGTGTGACCTCATGCCCCTACCTGATGCCTTTGCCACGCCCCTGAGTGGCCTCATTCCCCTACCTGGCCACACCTGGGTGCCCACCAGCCAATCATGTTAATTAACCACTCCCCTTTGGAAGTGGGTTAAAAGCCAGGACATGGTGTGGCCCAGGTGGCTCTTCTTTCCTGGCCTCTTGTCAGGAGGGGGCTTGCTGCAGCCCCGCGCCTCCAGGGCGCATGGCCTTTGGGCTAAGTGCTCTAGGCTTCCTGGCCCAGATACAGGCCTAGATGCTCTTCCATGTGGCTGGTTCCCGGTGCTCGGGATGAACCCCTATTCACCTCTCTCTCCTTAATAAAGCTCTCACTCGCCTATGCATCTTTCTCACTAAATAAAAGCTTAAAACGTACCATGCTGCCTCGTTTATCTGTGCCGGTATTTAGAATTCTTCTCTAAATATTAGGCAAGAACCCTCCTGGGCTTATTAATATCGGGGATTTAGTAATAAGCCGTGGTGAAATCGTAAGGCACCCCAAATTCCAGTAACACATGTGGCACCCCAGATAGCATTTCTAGGGAACACATTTCAGGGTAAATTTTAGGGGGTCTTGTCCGATTTCAACATGACCCTGGGTTGGGGCCGGCACTGTAATGTAGCCGATAGTCAAAGCCTGCATCCCACGTGGGGTTCCGGCTGCTCTGCTTCTGATCCAGCTCCCTTGCTAGTGCACCTGGGAAAAGGTGGAAGATGGTCCAAGTGCTTGGCCCCTGCCGTTCATGTTGGAGACCTGGAGGAAGTTCTTGGCTCCTGGGTTCGTAGATGAACACCGGTTGAAGACCCTGCTGCTCAGCTTCCAATCTAGCTCTCTGCTGACGCTCCAGGGAAAGCGGCAGAGGATGGCCATTGTCCTTGTGTTCCGGGAGAGAGGATCGCGGTTCTTTGTCTCAAGGCGTTGAAAGTAAAGTAGGATTTATTCAAGTTGGAAACCTCCCGCAGAAGGAGACAAAGAGGGAGGCTCCAAGGGAGGAAGACCCCTAGCGCTGGTGGTAGCGGGCGTTTTTAAGCACAATCTTGGGGGAAGACCTGTCCATCAGTACAAGTGAGGACACACCCTATGGAAGTCCTGATTTATATTTTAATTATTTTACCCTAGCAGGCTGGCTCAAGATAAAACAGGGAGCCATTGGAAGGGTGCAGTTACCTAATTTGCTTTATAATAGACCGGGAACACCACTCTCTTGCTATTCTCATGGTAAATATGGAGATTCCTAAGAAAGTAGGGCGGGACCTGCGCTTATCATCTTGCTAAGCTAAAGATAACCTTTTTCTTTCTTTCTTTTTTTTTTTTTTTTTTTTTTTTTGTGGGGAGGGGAGCAAGCACTTTGCAACTCCAATTTTCCACCGGGGGACCACCTTGACCGCCTAGTAAGCCATTTGACGCCTCGGACTTGGAGCCCTGCCATTCATCTGGGAGAGCCGGGTGCAGCTCTAGGTTCCTGACTTCAGCCTGGTCCTGCCAGGCCCCCACCACTGCCACCATCCGGGGACCAGATCAACACGTATAACTTAAAGTAAACCTGCCATAACTCTTTTATGTATTATAAGAATCACCTTTTCTCAAGAGGGCTGCTGTCTTACTGTATAGTACAGTGTCGGCTTCCAAGAGAGCTTAAAGAGACTGCTTTTTTTTTCCTTTTTTATTTGAAAGGCAGAGGCAGAGAGGCAGAGGTCTTCCAGCAGCTGGTTTGCACTCCAGTTGGCCACAATGGCCAGAGCTGGGCCGATCCGAAGCCAGGAGCCAGGAGCTTCTTCCAGGTCTCCCATGCAGGTACAGGGGCCCAAGGACTTGGGTCATCTTCCACTGCTTTCCCAGGCCATAGTAGGGAGCTGGATCAGAAGTGGAGCAGCTGGGACTCGAACTGGAGCCCATATGGGATGCCGGCACTGCTTTACCTGCTACGCCACAGCGTGGGCCTCAGTATGCTTGTTTTTTAACAGCCAAAAAAAAGGGTGAGGCCCAGGCTTTTGAACAGCACCCCGACCTTCTGCTTTAATAGGGAAAATGCCGTTTAGAACAGGGGACATGGGCTCTGGGCTGACCAGATGGTTAATTTTAGTTGAGCAAGGTCACGGTGAAGAAAACCAGCCGTGGGCTGCATTCTAATGTTGCTGTACTGTATTACAGCTTCTTCCCGTTTCCTTTTGGAGGATGGTGGTTTTCAAGGAGTTAATGGAAAAGGAACTCAGCTCTTTGTTTCTAATTAATTTTCTTCATGCTCATTTGCATTTTATTTGTTGAAACCCAGGCTAAGCTTTATCTGAATGAAACAAGAATTCCTGGGGGTTGGGGTGCAAGGGTACTTACTCCCTATTTGCAAAACTGCTTGGGACTGAAAGCTTCCAACAGCAAGGAAAACCCAGCATTCAACGAGGCCGCATATTTGCATTTTGTATCTCAATGGAGGCCTCCAGCTCCAAGCTGTTTTGAATTTTTGTTGGCCGAGGAGTTAAAAGCCCAGAGGTGCCTGGAGCTTGCGCGAGGCCTCAGCCGACGGCCTCTTGTACCTTCTTCCCCTTGTCTTGGTTGACATCCTGGAGACCACCATTTTTTCCCCCCATAAATCCAACTTTCTTTTTCAGAACCAGGTGCCGCGTTTTCAAAGCAGCGGCTGAATCAGCCTTTGAGAAGCATTCCCAGCAATTCTCCCTTGAGCCATGGAGGAGGCGCCGTCACCTGTGCTCGGCCGAAGCCCTCGTGAGGAGGACGTGCCCAGTGTCGTGCCCAGTGCGGCCACAGCAGTGCCTCGGGAGCCGTGTTTGTTCAGCTGGAGAGGTCAAATGGTTTGCTCCTCCAGAAGTTAATCATTGATGACAAATGTGCTTGGCTGGGCTCTGCTTACTGGGTGTCCCGGCTGGCTCCTGAATTCCCTGTGCATTTTTTCTCTCTCGCTTCTTGCAGTAGCCCCAGGCTCTTACTGTTTTCTCTACTAGGCTCCTGTCATCTTCCCTTCCCTTTTCTCTCTTGTCAGTGGAAGGCACAGGCCCCGCCCCCATCTGTCAGGGCGCATCAGGACAGGTGCTCGCGATTCCCAAGCCTGATGAGAGTCAGGTGTTCAGGTTCATTCCCCACACCTTGTAAAGTTTGCAGGTGCCAGCGTTCGTGGCTTCTCTCCGCTCCAACTTCTCCTCTGGCTGTGGGCATTTGGGGCAGGTGAAGTCAGGTGAGCGTCTTATGTGCATTTACTCGGCTGGCAATGACCAGCTGTCCTCATAAATGGCTTTTAGGGACGCTCCGTCCGCCCACTCTGTGCTACCACGGCACAGAGGCACCAAGGAATGGACCCAGGGATCTCACTGGGACGTGAACATGCCCAGGCACGCAGTTGGTACCCTACCACTGTGAGAGGGCGGGGCAAAGGCTGGTCTATAAACTACACAGCATGAAGCCAGTCAGTGGAAAAACTCCTTTGGATTATAAAACATGGACCCAAAGGGAGCTTGGTAGAAACCTCCCTAAATCTGATCACCATCCAAAAAATTGTACATGACATCATCGACAACAAGGCTGAGAAAGTCTTCTACAATTAAATTCAGTTTAAAATTTGGATCACGGAGGGTGAGATAGCCATGTACAGCCTCAGAGGGCTTGGGTTCCAGTCCTGGCTCCGGTTCCTGACTTTCTGCAAATGCAGACCCTGGGAGGCAGTGATGCAGCTCAAGTAATTAGGTTCCTGCCACCCAAGTGGGAGACCTGGACATCGTGATCCTGACTCTGTTTCAGCCCTGGATGTTGTGGGCGTTTGAAGAGTTTTAACCAGTGGAGGGGAGCTGGCTCTGTCTCCCTCTGTGCCTCTGAAATAACTAAACTTAACAAATTTTTAAAAATTGATCAAAAATTGGATGTGGCAACATCTTCGTGATGTGAAGAGGTGATCAAAAAGTGTGCACTCAAAAGCATGAGAATGGGGCCGGTGCTGTGGTGTAGAGGGTAAAGCCGCCACCTGCAGTGCTGGCATACTGCATAGACACCTGTTCGAGTCCTGGCCTCTCCACTTCCAATCCAGCTCTCTGCTATGGCCTGGGAAAGCAGTAGAAGATGGTCCAAGTCCTTGGGCCCCTGCACCCGCGTGGGAGATCCAATAGAAGCTCCTGGCTCCTGGTTTCAGATTGGCCCAGCTCCAGCCGTTGTGGCCATTTGGGGAGTGAACCAGCAGATGGAATACTTCTCTCTCTATGCCTCTGCCTCTGTAAGACCAACTTTCAAATAAAATAAATAAAAATATTTAAAAATGATTTATTTATTTTGAAAGAGTTACAGAGAGAAAAGAGGGAGAAAGAGATCTTCCATGTGCTGGTTCATCCCCAGTTGGCCACAATGGCTAACGTTGGGGTAGCTGAAGCCAGGAGCCAGTAGCCAAGAGCTTTGTTTGGATCTTTCATATGGGTGGCAGGGGCCTAACACCTTGGGCCATCTTCTATTAATTTTCTCAGGCTATTAGCAGGGAGCTGGACTGGAAGTGGAACAGCTTTGACATGAACCAGTGCCCATATGGGATGCTGGAGTTGCCGGCAGCGACTTTATCCACTATACCACAATGCTGGCCCCAAGATTTTTAATGAGTGCTTTTTTGTTTTTTTTTTTTTGTTTCAGGCAGAGTGGACAGTGAGAGAGACAGAGAGAGAAAGGTCTTCCTTTGCCGTTGGTTCACCCTCCAATGGCCGCCGCTGCAGCCGGTGCACCGCGCTGATCCTGGCAGGAGCCAGGAGCCAGGTGCTTTTCCTGGTCTCCCATGGGGTGCAGGGCCCAAGCACCTGGGCCATCCTCCACTGCACTCCCTGGCCATAGCAGAGAGCTGGCCTGGAAGAGGGGCAACCGGGACAGAATCCGGCGCCCCAACCGGGACTAGAACCCGGTGTGCCGGCGCCGCAAGGTGGAGGATTAGCCTATTGAGCCACGGCGCCGGCTAATGAGTTTTAAATTGTTTTTATTTATTTTTGAATTATTTGTCCCTGAATTTTGTGGTGCTCATGGAATTTCTCAGTGCAAAACTTTTGTAATTTGCTTGGAGTTCTGATTTCCTTCTTGTTTGGAATCATTTTCTTCAATTCTTTTTACAAAATGGGATCCTGAGATTATTTCTGCTTTAGAGTCCTCAAAGGTTTGTGGTCCCAAGAGCTTGATGCCCCTGTGATGTTTCTGAAGAATGATTTGTCTAGCAAAGCTTCTAGCTCAGAAATTAAGACCCAGAAGGCAGAACCTCCCCTGGATGTTCATCTTTTGAACTTCCTGTATGACAGAGCAGTGGCCTTAATATCGCACATTTCAGATCAAATGCTGGTGATGAGTGCATTTGAGCTTGAAGAAAAGTCCGTTAACACTGGAAAGTACCATGAGGAATCTA